TAAGAAAAATTAGTTGACATGAGCAATATCTAAACCAGAGACTTTGAACATAGCAGTCCAGTGCATAAATTACTGAGCTACTCCGCTCTCGTATAAGAAATTAAATTATCGAGCAAAATTCAAAGTATTATTTGAATTAAAAAATGAATACACTATTGAATACGCCGTAAAAAAATTAAATGAGTACTTAAGTTTAACACGGTCTGGAGTCTGTTAAAACCAGTGCTATTTCGTAAATGCACGGGGAAGATTATTCAAGAGATTTTTTGTTTTTACTTTTGTTCACTACTGTTTTTTATGAATAAAATGGAATGTAAGAAAAGATGCGGAAGAAATCTGTAAAATGCTAAACAAAATAGGACAAAAATTTGTTATCCATACTCATGGAAACCCCATGAACTTTGAATTGAATTTTTATTTACGAAAATTCTCAGAAATGGGGCATTTTCTCTAGTGTTGACCAAATACGAGACCAAGAAAAGTCTTGGTCTTGCGTAAAAGTCTCGCAACAGTCTTGCAGTTACCTATTATCTTGTTACTATAGAGATTTCACTGTAATTTTTCAGGAAGAGGAAGAAACCTGGCTAAGCCCAATTGAAAAATTGTAAGAGTTAAATACAAAAGTATTTCGTTAATACCAATTGTTTACATATAGTATCTAAAATAGTTGAGTATTAGTAACTATTTTTTCGTAATTTTTATTCACAAAAACAAATTTTTTTTACCAGTCTTGGTCTGCAAGACAAAGTGCAACACCAAGACCGATTTAGCAACATTAATTTTCTCATTAATTCAATTAATTTAATTATGTACTAGAAACACATAAGTACCCATTTGCTTTACACTTGAATCGTAAGATAATTTTATCACAAAATCGAAAAAAAAGAAAGATGGCCTACTAAAATATTGGGTCGTTTGGCCTGTATAACCTCGTTATTTTTACATGTGGGCGGAGGTAAACGGCCCAATATTTTTGTAGACCACCTTTCGTCTCAATTTTATGATCAAATTATCTTATGATTGAAGTGGAAAGCAATTTAGTGTTTATGAGTTTTTAGTACTTATTTAATTAAACAATGTTTGCCGATCTCCAGTTTGAAAACTTTTTTTTTCGTAATTAGATATGAAGCTATTCACGACGTTTAAGGCCGATGTAAATAATTTGATAAATCCTCTCATACCTCTTTTTCAGTTCCCAAAACATTAAACTTTTGTACAAATTCAAGATTATTTAGCCGAAATTTAATAGACGATAACCAATCCATATTCTACATGTTGAACGCAAAGCTATAATTCTAAAGTGTTCAACTAAGTTTATTTTATTTTTTGGTCAAAAAACTAATTTTGTTCTTCATTTTATAAACCCAAAAATATTCTAACAGGATTATTTATGGAACTAGTGGAAAGTATTGTAAAATTCATAAAAATTGATTTTATTTTATATTAATATTTATTTAAGAGGAGAATGGTTTGTGTGATCAGTAAAAAAAAATTAGTTAAAATAAATAATTATATTTATGATTTTTGTCCCCAATTAGTTACGGCCCAAAATTCAGGCCTTCATCAGGGCTGGTCAATTGAAGAGCTGACACAAGACTAAAGACACTGATGAAGGCCTGAACTTTGGGCCGAAACGTCGGCAAAAATAAAAGTAAATATAATTTTTTTGTTTTTTTCCTATTTTTTTTTTTACTGATCGCCCCAATCATTCTTCTGTTTAATTATTTGATGTACTGATTACTTACTGAGAATTGGCTTGATTTGCGTTAATTTTATTATTATTGAAGGAGTAGGTCTCTTGGCCATTTTCTATTTAGTCTGCGTCGAGCAAGTAACAGGGAGGACTTAAAATAAATAGTGGATTGAAGTGATTTTGAGTTGAAGAACGAAGTGCAGTGTAGGATTTTACTGTTGGAAGGTTTAATTTGTTATTTATAGTGTCATTTCCTCGTTTTATTGCAAAAAGCCATTAGGTGTCATTTCATAACCGCAAATAATCAGAAACTTTAATGAATTTTCCCTTTGTTAAATCATAAAATTGTGCGCTTAGTTTAACTATATTTGATAAATAATTTTCAGGCAATTACGGCATTTAAAGATATATATATACCGATGATTTGTATGATAGTTTAGTTTATGTGTGTTTGCTTTATCGAACCTCAAAGTTATACTCCGTATGTCTAAATTGGTCTCAGGCCTCAGGTCTCAGGCCAGGACAATCGTTAAAGTCCAAAAACTTGTTTAAGATTTGTATGTAAAATATTCATCGATTCTCTTCTTCTCTCTGTCACATGGTAGACACAGGTTAAAAATAAATTAAAAAAAAAACCCTGTACCACTACAATTCAGGAAATGTTTTGGGTTCAGAGAAGTATTGTTAAGTCAAGAAAGTACAGTTTCAAGGCCAATTATTTAATAAATAGTACCAACTATATAGATATTAGATCTGCCCCAGGAGGGTCTCTCGATCCCAGGGTCGATTCACGACTGATGAAAAATTAATTGACATGAGCCGTATCTGAACCCGGAACTATGAACTCAGTAGTCCATTGCCTAACTCACTATAAAGTTGTTAAAGGAGGTAAAACCGCGCTATTTCTTAAATGCTCGGAGAAGATAATTCAGGAATTTTTTTGTTTTTACTTTTGTATACTACTTTTTTTTATGAATAAAATGGAATGTAAGAAAACATTCGGAAGAAATCTATAAAATTTTAGACAAAATATGACAAAAATATGTTATCCATAATCATATACTTCGTTGAGTTATTGAATAATTCATACAGTAACATTTTTCAAGATTAATTCACTAATTTCTTTGATGAATGAAAGAGCTACTTGAGTCATTTTAATACACTAAATGTATTTTTGCATCGATAAATAAGGTCCAAATTCATAAAAATGAACTTAAAATTTTACCTTCGTCAAAAATATAGTCAGTTATTTTTCTGTTAAACCAATAATATATGTTAATTAATGTATCGATTTCATTAATATATTCGTTTATATTTCTTATTCATTAATATATAACAATTTCAAAGCTTTTAACAACAATTTAAAATACTCAATATGACCTATTTTCTTTACCAAGTTCAAAGTTGTAAATAAAAACACACCGATCTAGAAAATAGTCGATTGGTCAGGCCGAAACAATTTTCATGTATTAATCTATGCTATTAAAATCTGATAAAATATTAATTATTAATGTTTACGAAATCAGCCGAATTAAAAATTAAGAATTACAATACTTTAAAACAGTTTTCGCTTTCATAATAACAATTTTTAGAATATAAATTTTGTACGTAGTGAAATTTTTTTAAAGCTTCTTTTTAAAAAAATAATGAGTATTCGGCTATGTAAGAATTGATTTTTTTTTGCAGAAGAGTATAAAAACTGATTATTTCTTTATGATTTATTTCCGTCTATTATTTTCCATAGTAGCAGACTACTTTGTGCAGTTGCAGACTACAGAATGTCACCTTTAGCACAAATATAATAAACATGAAAAATTGTTAAATACGATCTTTTGCACTAACAGTAACGATATTTTATTTTAATTGACAGTATATTTGGATTCAACGTCGTCTATACGTGTCTATGAATTTGTAATATATATCTAATAATTATAAGATTTTTCCCTGATTGAAAAGGCTTGAAACAATTAAATTAAATATCTGTTTAAATGTTCTCTGTGTTTCTATTGTTTTCAAAGTAATGAAAATTCTTAATGTCGATTTTTAAGGGTATATTGTCTGAAATATTGCGTTCCTGAAATCGAAGTAGCATATATTTAAAATATTAATATATTATTATTTAATTAGGTTACACTAATAACATTTTTATAGTAATTTCGGATTTAAATCAGAAAAAATAAATAGGAAATTTTGGTAGTAAGCTGTCGATTTTTTAATTGTATTTTGACCTACTGATGATAAAGAAATAAATCTTTTAAAAATCGTTCCGGTGTATGTATATCTATATAGGCAGGTACATATATGTATAAAGTTCATGTATGTATAAAGTGCATGAGAGCGCAAGACTTCAGTGGTAAGGATTCAATAAATAAGACAACGGTAACGAAATTTCGATGGACTCTGTGTACGTAAGATCATTTAAGAAGGCATACCATCAATCGGGTATTGATATATTTTTAATTAGGCGAGAATAAACCTTGCTATAACATAAAATTAGTATGGATGTCTTTTATATATAAATAAATTATATAGTTAGCAGACTGTCAATTTAGTTAAAACATTATAGTTTTTTATATATATGCATATATTGTTTATTTATTTATTGCATATATATTTATATCTGTATAGGACAGCTTTATGTTTCCCAAGCCTTCATGATTTTTTATGGTCCTTATTTATTTATTTTTTTTTACTATTTTAATGCGAGTATATTAATTATATACATAAATATATGTGTTGTAATTTAACTCATTCAGAACACTGAATGGATGTTTTAACAAAAACATTAGCACAGCAACATGAATAAATAAACACAATCACTTCTAAATTGTTTAAGCAACAGTTATATTTATTATTATTTTTTTTTTATTTCAATTAACATAATGGTTTTGGTTTACATTTTAATATCATCCTTGAAAAAAAATTGTTATGAATTAAAAATATGATTTAATTTTTGTTTTCATAGTAAATTCTACTGATATTTTTTAAAAATATAATTTGAAATTATAGATTAATATATTAGAGTATTTGATTTATCATTAATGAGTAAAGTCGAGAAGTTGAGTGGGACTTGCCCGACAAGAAGCACAAGTAACGGGCTTAGTTTCTCTTAAAGTTCAAGCAGTACTTTCTCTTTAAGCCATTAAAATCATTCTCAAAGTCATCGATTAATATTATTTGTTTGAGATGTATTATATATATAATATTTTATATATTTTTTGTTTTGATTATAATTATATTTTCACTTGCATCCTTGCTATTTGACTATGCTATTCTGTAACTTTGCTAAGTAGTGCTTAAGACTTACCGGAGGTGGCTCTGTGGAGTACACTTCGGAGGGTGGGTACTCCTTCATCTGTACGCCTACAGAGGAGATGGAGTCTGCTGCTGCTTCTTGCTGTTTCTCCATGGCCGGACCACGTTCTGAGCTGAGCCTGGGGGTACGGAGATAGGACTAGTCGGTTCCAGGGGTGGGGAGCCCCCTCCAGGTACCAACTTTCGATTCCTGGATGGGGGGGTACCTGATGGCTACTTTGAGATAGGTCAGTACCAAAACAGCCCGAGCCTATCCTAACAGTATAATTATGGGTAATATTTAACCTACTTCGAGATAATTATAGTAAAGTAATTAATCTGAATTCAATGAACTCATAGATTAATCAACGCATTGTGGGAGGAAGCGTTCTATTTTCTGAATATGACTTTTTCTCTCGGATATTCCCATATATTAATTTCAATTGAGGTCATATACACCACTGGCGGATACACGAGGAAGGAGGGAGTAATTTAGGCGGAAGCACAATCAAAATAGAAAAATAATTTTGTAGTAATATATATTTTTTTTATGTGAAAAATTCTTCAGGCACGTTTTGCACTTTTTTGTGGACAGTGATTTAGATTGAGTCGTCAGATTTCCGATGTGTAACGCTCAAGTATACTCGGCTAATTGAAGTGTTTTTGCTTATGGACTAAAATATCTCAAAAAATAAAAATCGATACTAAAAATCGGATCTGCATACTGTAAGCGAGAGAAATGTTCAACATTTCATCTTCTTTATAATGAGATATTATTTATAATTTATATTTCATATTATTAATCCCGCCTTGTTCACTTCAATCGTGTGGTCTAAAGCACACACACACACCTTTTTTTATGTTCAATAATTATTTATCCTTTAAATTAATTTTTCTCTAAGCGTCATCAATAGATTACTTTTCTTTAATATCCCTTTATTGCTGCAGATGCACTCCATACTCGTTTTTCTCAAAGGTTTTCACCAAGATATCCCTGTATAATAATTTTAATGGAAATATAACTCTATATGATTTCGTGTACTAAATTAAATATAAATTACGTTCGGTGATAGGATTTAAATCAATCAACTCTAAATAAATGATAAATTTTAAAACGAAAATCCACTTCAACCGCAATATTTTTTAAACTATATATAAATAAAAATACTCTACTTATCTATTTATATTAAAGAAAAACTAAAAAAAAAGGTTATAGAACATTGTACAGATTTCAATGTCATTATAGAAATTTCGAATTATATTTACACATAAAATTTGCCATAATTATTACATAATTTATATAATATAATTTAATCAGATTATTTTACTTCAAATTAAATATAATTATTTATCAAGCACCAATAATTTTAAAACAGAAATCTTTCTTGTATTCCATTTTCCATATTGAGGTAATTTGATTGATACTACGTAAATTATTATAATGTCAAATTTATTTCTAAAAACAATATCCAATGACCTTAATCGATACAGAATTTAATGTTTTTCAATAAACATGTTAAAAAAATAAATATAGTTATTTTGATGTGGGAAAAGAAAAAGCATATATATTAGAATAAATTCTATATATTATATAAAAAAGTTTTAGCCACTGTGTCATATTTTATTTTACCTATGTAAAGCGGGACAGATAGTAAAGAAATGAAGAAGTGAAAAGAATACCACAGACTTTTTATTGAAAAATTATTTCTGACTTTTCATGGTTACAATTTGGCAATAAGGTGCATATATAATATAGATTTTTAAAGAAATTAAACATTTTTCAAAGGAAGGAGATGGTCCGGGGTGGCGGTCATAAATAGGCTAAATATTGGCAAAACTATTTAGCCTATTTATGACCGCCACCCCAGACCATCTCCTTCCTTTATAATGCAACGGCCAACTATTAAATATTCAAATAAACATTTTTCGAACTCTGGCTTCGTTCCGTTTTTTTTTATGTTGATAAAAAATAATATAATCTTAACTACAGAATACATGTGAATTACAGTTATACAATTTGAGCGAAGAGTAGTACATTTAAATTAAATGAACAGTTGTATAATTTGTAAAGTAGGGGTTGATCCGCCGTTAGGTAGACCCCCTTAGTATTGAAAATAAATATAATGATTTTTCGAATATTTATCATCTGAAGTGATAACGCAACTGTGGGCTTTACCAAAATCTCTATTGTAGGAATTAATCCGCATTCATTAGTGACCAACTAAATGTTCCTAATCCTAATATTTTCATTAATTAAAAATAATTCAATAGTTCAGTATGTTCCAATATTTTAATCGTAAATATTAAATGTGAGAGGGCGGGGTAGCTCAGTGGTTGGGCAGTAAGCTTCCAATGCTGAAGGGCCCAGGTTCGAATCACGGCTCATGGCAGAAAAATTATTTATTCTGTTTCATTGGCCGTGGGGCGACCCTGTGGTAGGGAGAACCTTCCTGGCGCACATCCAGCCTCTGTAAAGTGCGTCTCCTTAATTAAACAATTAATTAAGGGGAAAACCTGACGGTTGAGCTTGATCTCGGTCAAATCACCTGCTTGCACAACCGTAGACCAAGAAAAAGTGCTTTCCCTAAATAGAACTGAACCCAAGACCCTTCATGGATTGTAGTGGTACAGGTTTTTTTATTTGAATTACAAACATTTTATTGGTCACCTAAAAATAGGAATCAATTCCTGTATTAGAGATTGTAAAAAAAAAAAATACAATTTCATTATCACTATAAATGAAAAATCATTCTTTTTAACATTTTTTTTAAATAAATAAATAAGAAGAATATTTATGGATTTATCTATGTTATAATAAACCCAGGTAATTGAAAAAAACCTTAAAGCTTTGCAAAAATTTATTTTTGTAATTTTTGTTAAAAATACGGCGACAAGTTACAAAATCACCTCGTTTTTTTTACACAATTTGAGGTGATTCTCTACTTATTTCGTGCTAAATCTCAGTTTAATTTTATGTGGACATAAATCTTATTAAAAATGGGAGTTTCCTAAAAGTGGAGTATCTGTAGTACAGTTGGAGAATAATAAAAAAAACGCCAATAATTCATTATTTTGTTCAAAAACAGAATTTAGCTTACTTTTTCGCTTTGAAGTCCGCTTTAAAAGATTTCGATATTGGCAGACTCTACTTTCGTCGTATTGTTTCTTCTTATTGAATGATCTTTTCTGAGATTCCTTTAAGGATATTTTTGAAATTACTCTGCCAAGTAATTCTTGGCATTTTCCTCTAGGTCGTTTTCCCGCTGGTTCAACCTCCATAGTTTACTTTGCGAACGCCTGTCTTCTATCATCGTTACATGATTGAACCATCGAAGCTGCCACTTCTCAGTTATCTGGTTGAGGGGTTCACTTCTGAGTGTAGTCCGTATCGTCGTGTTATGTATCCAGTTTCCCTAGGTATTCCTCAGATCTCCATACTTTGGAGCCGGCTGCGATCAGGTTGCTATATGGCCCAGGGATTCGCTTCCATAAGTGAGGTAAGAGACGAACGTCCAGCGATTAATGACTAATTTTGTTTCTTCTCTCTTATTTAAAAATTTTCTTTTGATGCCAGAAAAGAACGTTCCTGAAGTGACAGTAACCGTATTAATTTGATCTCTGAATTTCCCGCTCTCACTGATCGTCACACCCAAGGACTTGATGCTAGGAACTTGCATTATCATCTCTTCATTATTGTGAATTTTCAATTTTCTTTACTGTCAGCTATTAGCATAAAGCCATCAGTGAATGCAAACGATGATCAGTTTACAGGTTGTAATTTGCAATATCCAAGTTGTGTCTTCTTGGTTCTCCGCTTACATTCTTTAATCATGCCATCCATGAGATTGATGAAAGTGGGTTCCCTATGTCTCCCTGACTCCCATTGTGACAAAATCGGTGTTTTATAGACTTAGAGAAGGCATTCGAAAGGAAAACTTGGAATGAGATATGGACTTCACTCCGAAATAAACAAGTGTCCGAGGGTCTTATACAGAAAATAAAATCATTCTATAAGACCTGCAGAAGTTATGTAAGAACGTCCCATCAAACATCCGCCGACTTTGTAACCAAATCTATCTATTTTCGTTTAAAGTAAATTTTTGCTAGTTTACTGTGAACTAATTGTTAATTAATTTTTTTTTTGTCTTCAATCCTTCATCCGCACCTGTCATGGTAGTGACAATTAGCAGATATGTTGTTAAGTAGAAAATGGCATGATAACCATGACGAAGAATGGCAGCACCTCTTCCCTGGCCTGTTTACATCCTAAAATCAGGAAAGGAGATCTCTCATCCAGCTCCTTTTCAATCGCCTCCTGTTGAGTATTTCAGCCGTGGCCATGTCGTTGATTAGTCCATTGTGATGTCCGTTTAGTTTAAGATGAAATCGGCAGTAGAGAGTACTTATATGCTGGTCAATGGTTGGTTGTTTTAGGTCAGTATGTAAAGTCTTGTTGTTGACATACCAGGCAGCTGCAGTTATTAGTCTTAAAATTTTAGATTGAAAAGATTGTAGTTTTGCTGAACCGTAAATCTTTAACTTACTTAATTAAATTTAATATTTTTTAGGTATCGCTTTGTATTCATAAAAAAATGTTACTTACATTTTTTAACATAAACTTAAATCTCTCACTTTTCTGCGGAAACCTTTTGTAGCTCTAGGGGTTTGCTACCCGCCCTTTAAATAGTTACAGTAGTCTCTACTTACAGTATAACCATTATTATTAAAATTAGATGTACTTTTATATAATTTATAATAAACTATCATAACATTTAACTTGCATTCTGTTGGCTTTATATTATATACCTTTATAAAGGTACCAGTAACAGGCATTATTAACTCATTGAAAAAAGATAAATTACGGGCAAAATAGGATTTTGCGTAAAATTTTAAAGTGAAAATAAAAATAAATAAAAAAAGAAAGAGAAAAGTAGAGTGATAGGCGAACATTAGGTGATATAATCAACTATATCACCACTAGTTGATTTCGACGTTTCTGCTTCAGGGGCCATTTTCAAAATCCTCCAAACTAATTTTAATTTAGTTGTCATACTTTAAACTATATCAATATAAAACACACATTAATTTTATAACAATCAGTTACATACATAATCTAAATTCCATTTTATAAACATTTTTTATAACATAACATTT